CCAACACCCTCGCAGCCAGGGCGAATTTAATGTTCTCGCTCGTATTATTGCTATACCAGTAGAGTGCAGACCCACGAATCTCCCAGCTTTAAGGAATCCAGCCCCGGGTTACCCAACTGTTCTAGGTGTCTGATCCTGAGATCGCCATCGAGCTCAAGTCGATTATGCTAGCCTCCAACTTGATCTCCGTGTGAGATACACGGATGTATATATCAAATATTGGGTTACTGTAGAATTTAGTATTATAATTGGTAGAGCCGGTTGGGGTTCTGGGGACTGCTAGCTGCATCAGCTGGAACTCAGTGTGAGACTGAATCATATCTTATTCGAAACCGACATATGCAATAATTTTTATTTCCTGATATGCTTTACAGGATCGGTGAGTGTACTCTACATGTATCTTCTGATCAGATTACTCGGGGCGCCAGACTTCTATGTAGATAATTACAAGAGATTTATACTCGAGAAGGTTAGGGGTGTTGTGCCAACCAGACTACGAGAAGGTATGGCCTTGATTTTCGTTGCAGTTTACGCGTGATAGTCTGGTTGGCACAAGCTCCTCGCAAGAGGTACGCGTGATAGCAAATTGATTTCTGTGGTCTGGCGAGTTCCGTTTTTGTTCCTGGCTTGGTATAGAAGTCTTGGCACGAGATCCCCTACTCTATGAGAGGCCGTCCGCAAACCCTGTTGATCCGTTGCCCGGACTATTAATTTCTTGCTAAGGTAGATTCATACTACGTAACTCGAAAACTCTTAAGTATTTCTTGCGGGCACTGAGTGCTCCATTCTCTGCACAGATGCAAAAGAAGGGGAATCTTTGAACCTTGAAATGCATAAGGATTGCAGCCAATTTCAGGCCGAGTTGAAACGTCACCTCATTCGACAGCGGTAGTCTGTTTGACGATAGTGGTGATCGCCGATTCGGCTAAAGTAAATCTCGTACCCATGACCGTCGAGGCGAATGCCAAGATCGGGTAACAAGAGAACAGGGCGTGCCCCGCCAGATTAAGAACAGGCTAAAGTGTGGGTGGCTGGAAAACCCATACTAACTTAATAGCCCTTTCGTGTAGTCTGGTTGCATAACCCCCCCGTACAAGACTACCTTTCGTGGGGGGCTCGGGAGCAACCAGACTAGGCTCGGGAGATAAAAATACTTTGAATGCCGTCCGTTCAGTATAGCCTCTTGATGAAATTGATTAGATTGAGACTAACCTTAGTGGTTGACCTTAGATGTAGTCTCATGCCAAGCCCCTCTGGGCACCTCAGATGGTGGATGTTTTGTCACGCATGATCTCATGCCAAGAACACCCTCCTCGATATCTTTCGTAGAGAGGGGAAAAGCCATGTTCGCCGACCAAATGTATGCTCCATAGCAGAAGATCACTGTGGCAATTGACTATTTTTATTGTTGATACCCATACTCTACATTGCGTGCTAGGCGAAGTCCAGGGAGTACAGATCGAGTTCCTGACTCGCTGTGAGTTTATCTCGCGTTAGGATTACATCGGTGAAGATAAGGTGTTTAACGATAACCGCTCGTGGGCTACATAATAAAGCTGAGGGCGGAGTGCTTTCAACACAGAATCGCTAAAAGGGTTTGAAACTCTCCTACGATACATCACGACAGCGCATTTGCGTACAACTATCTTGATCCGACAAATTTTTGGGGAGAAAGTCGCAACCAACATGTAGCTTAAGGCTATGGCGAGGATAAAGAGGTTATTGGGGAAAGCTGGGGTTGTGCTTGCAGGATAAGTGGCTTGAATACCATGGCAAGAGGCGGTCAGTATGAGGGGCTTGCAATGGATTACCCCAACATCATGCCAGCTTCACACCATCTCACGTTCGTCGTACATCAGGCCATTCTTGCGCCGGTATCATTTGGGAGCTCTCAACCGCTCTACGCCCTTGATTCCCATGGGGAATGCCAGCCCAATCATTTGTCCGGTCTTTCAAGCCTTCTCTTCCTAGATCCCCGTTACGGCGATCTTCTAGACGGGACATTTGTCTCGGCGCGAGTCCTTGAGCTGCAATTGGATGCATGGGGAAATGTGCTATGTGTTGCTAAACGTAAGTTCATCTGATTGACATTGCGGGCTGGGTTGTGATGGGCATGTGATACTGTGGTGAACACCGCTTGGACAGCATTCGGGGCTTGGGACAGACCTCTAAATGTGTAAGTTTGTATGTTGCCACTTTAGCATTTTACAGATTTTTGGGAAGCTGAATTGGTCGCAACAAATCCCGAAACTACGTCCTGGGAGATGAAAAGCAATTCTTTGAACGTGGCATAGGCAGTTGTCGATGCCACTCTTTCAATGACAGCGCCATACTTAACTTGGGATATAATACAATTCGCTTTGAAAGGGTCATGAATTTCTTTACATTACACGTGTATTTGGGGACAATCTTTTGACTGAACTCGCCACTGTCCGCTCCGTGTCCTGCATTCCCTGGTAATCTATAGCGGTTTAATTCTATAGCTTTTATTACTATTTTTGGGGGATATATGGAACCTAGTGTCCTTTTTCTCCTTAAGACTTGGTTAGGTTACCCCGGCTGTTGTTATATTAGTCTCTTACCGAGATGAAGTTGCTTTTTCGCCACAATCCTTTTTTTTTTTACATTGAAAATCAAGACGTACTTCTATAGAGAGAAGACTTTGGAAGGGGGGTTTCAGTTGAGACAAAAAAGGAATATATTGGTAGAGGAAGCAGCAAGTATGGGAAGAACATACTTAGTTACAATACGCTAGTTACAGATGCTCTGATGATTAATCACACTCTAGGAGCTTTTAACCTCCATGCCGGCAGATTCCCGGTACGCGGCCGTGCGTGCACTGATGGATTTTCCAGCGGCTTGCGCGGGGTGGGAAATGTGGATTCCAACCTCCGCGGAGGCTCTTGAATGATTGTTTCTGCATCATCAGAGAGGAATAGAAGGGGGATCAAGCTCAATATGGTTGGTAAGAATTCGGTTAGCGGAGCTCTTGCCAAACGGCGGTTGTTTCTTTTTGTCATCAGGCAAATGAAGCTGACAGCTTCAGCTTTGCGTTTACCCTGAAGTGCGGATATGCGACTATGCCATTACCTAATATGCACCCCAAGTTTGTGATTCTGTGAGTTCATTACGTTGCTGTCCTAATACTATTGTGAACGTTAACTTAGCGTTGCCGTAGTCGATAAATCCTTTGCTACGGGCCGGCCCATTGTCAGTATCGGGTTAATTGGCAAACAGGACACAGATAATTCTTTTGTCTCGCCATTGACTGACTGGGTTCCAGTTCCCAGTTAACCCGGTGCTATATCTGCGCACAGCACGCACCACATCGGATGATATCTCCCTACGGAATAATTTATCGGAAGGGTTAGTCTGCATCGATCTATGAACAAGCTTCTCTGCATTGGTTGAATAAAGACCCTCGTGCTTGCGTTTTGCAACTCTCAGCGCGACAGAGTAACCACATTGCAAGCCTGGTTACACATTTGCACCTCGCCACTACAGCTCTCTACGAGAGGCTTGTGCCAACCAGACTACACTACAGCCCACAGACGACAGGTCGATCCGCGTAAGGAGCACCATATCCCAAGCAGGGAACAGCATTATCGGTCAATCGCACACATACAGAAAAGCTTGATCCTGGGCTAACGTCTGCAGAATATGCGGTTATGTAATGTACAGGTTTCATATTTCTGAGAGGAATTTTGTGCATTATTAACAAGGCACTTAGATAACTAGATCAGACCACAGATCGGTGGGTGAAGAATAGAGTAGGATCCTTGTGGCGTTGAGTTGAGATGGACAGTACTCGAGTACAGCTATGTACTCATGTATCAGAAGCTCGTGAAAGACTTTACTGCGGCCGGGACGTCGACGCGCGTGACTGGTCAGCTAATTTATGTAAATCACGTTTTGCGTGCACTGACTGTCTTTCCTTATTTTACTCCAATCATCAACTCTAGTCAGGACCCGTTAATTGACCGGTATCCTGCCATCTGACTGGGTTGCACTTGTTGAATTTTGATGCGATGAACTCAGTTTGATAATAACCACTTTATAGATTACTTAACTTCCCGCACCCAAGACTCCTAGTGCATAATACCCCCATAAGCATTACCGCATCTTCAAATTCCTTATAAAAAAACAAACAGAACCCCAGCTCCATAAAAAAAGAAATGTCGTACGACACGTAAATCAGCATGAGATTGGCCCAAAATGCAGAGTAGGAAAACGGAGTCGGATCGACCCCATCTAGATGTTTGGTACTGCGTTACCGCTCTTCTACATGTGATTGTGATGTCAGGGAGCTCTGGACCCGAATACTCCGAAGCCCGTATGAGCGAGAGCGATTTCTAATTTGACATTATATGCCCTCGGCCCTGCATGACCCCATGCATGCATGAGCCGGATTTCGGCTAAGGTATGCGCGCCACTGCAGGAGACGAAACATCACATGTAACATGTACAGGAGAGTACATGGCGGTAGTTGTGGTAGCAACAAAACCGGTGAGACGTGAACCTACTATGGCGGGTATTATATTCCATACCTATACCTACTGTACGTCTCTAAACTTGTATACCTCACACGATACTGGAACACGTATTGCAATATGCATCACGGCGGTTCTGTTCTAGCCCATTCGGCAACGAGGTATCGTGGGGGTAGGTAGAAAACTATCTTCGAGGCGGCACACTGTATGTCTCTCCTTATATGTACGAGAAATTTGTCAGAATGGTGACTCATAAATTCTTACATTCTTAAGACGCGCAGAATATAGCAATTTTGAGGCTTTGCGCAAATACTGTAGGTGATGAAACGATATTCTGTACAGTTGGCTTTCAGGGTAACACTTTCCGTCCAAGGCTTCGGTACATCGATGCCTAAGCTGGCACTAGCTCATTTCCATCGCCATCTGCCTCATGCATGGTAAAGTAAAAAACTTTAACCAACCTAAACTATATCCTATAAAAGAACCAAACAAAAAAGTAAAAAAAGAGATTGGCTGTGCACGGAATCGAACCGCGATTGTATCGGGACCGTTGAGGCCAAACAAAGTTGAAGTCCACAACGATACGTGCTACCATTACACCACACAACCTTTCTTGGCCACAATATTTTCTAGTGAACATTCTAATCCAAATCTATGCCAATTACCTAGCCAGGGTAGTCGTGGTATATATGCCTTGATTGTTTAGTATATATATTTACAAGGAATTTCGAAAATGCTCTTGCAACCGGCCTGCATAATGCTACAGGGTATTGCACACATATTAGCTAGCCTGGTGGGCACTAGTACTAGCATCTCGTAGAGATGTAGGTTCATATATACGAGGTATGCCGAGGTATATGTACGCCTTTCTTCCATGTTATTAGGTGCGTAAGCTTAGGCCTGCGATTTCGCAGATTTGCGGTTGGATGGGGCTTGTATCGATATACATCTGCTTTCTGTGCCACAGAAAATTTGGATTCCTTCTTTCCAGCTTCGTACACAGTAGCAGCAGGGGCGCTAGTGGTTCGAGTCTCGGGAGCTCGAGTTTAAATAGAGTGCAGATCTCAGCACATTCTAAGGATCAGACTAGGATCAGACCTACCGAGGGGCTAGTGCAAGCCAGACTACCGGTAGATCAGACGGTTTGGTTTAGTGTTAAAGTACACGTGACAGAAGTAACCAACCCCTAGCATGTGCTTTGCCAATAACCCATCGATAGGTAGGAGCGGTACAGGGGCAGCTCACAATGATATCGCGCGAGCGCCGTGAGAAGTGATGGGATAGCTAGGGAGGATCGTAGACACATACATTGATGTAGACTGGTATTGACGGCACCAATACGGCAGCGAGGGATTACGCACAATAGCGAGCCCCGCACTATATATACAATTCGTATATATTAATTAGTCTGGTTCAGACGGCTGTGAGACTAATATATATGCAACATCAATTCCGCGCAACAGGCCGGGGACGAGGTTGTGCTACCAGTACGAGAATATATATATACGCAATAGGCAATTAGTCTCGTGTATGAAGAGGTCCTTTTATATAATATATTCGGACTCGATCCCGGGCCGCGGCTACCACGATCCCTCATTGAGCGCAACAAGGCAGCGGGCAACAGAAAACAGGCAATATCGACAGATCATCACATCCCAGTCTCAAATCTCAAATCTTGGTGGGGTGTTCTCTGAAGCTCTTTTGGGTCACGAGACTAGTTCAGCCTTTTGTACTGCAGCGTATAATACATGGGAAAATATCAAGATATGGATCCTGACTATTCAGGGTAATTCTACGACTTGATTTCACCGATTATATTACAAGAAAGCTGAGTGAATAAGGATACTTGATATACCTGTGTATCCATTCGGATTGGAAAGCATCTAGCACTTGGTTCATTCAATTCTTACGCGTGGGAGAGCCTGACAGAGAATCTGAATATTTACTTTCTCAGGGCCTAAGATAGTTGAGATATAAGGGCCATTTCGAGTGTCGAATGCTACGAGCAAAGGTTGATTGCAGTGGGTAGCTGGTAGATGAGATGAAGTGAGATTGGAAAGAGATTGCCCTCGCTCAGTATTGATACGTTTAGTAAATGCCTTTAGCTACCTATATACAGTCAAGAAAACCACCCACAAAGCACCTGATTTTTTTTAATAAAAACCACCATAACCACCAGCCCAGGGCTACGCGGATTATTCCACTCCACCAAATACCCTAATCCACCAAGCCCTCACCTCAGCTTATAAACACACGGCTTCAACAACATCCCCTCCTTCTTCCTAATATCATCCTCCGTCTCTGCCAACCACTTTCCCCTCTCCCTCTTCATCCCCTCTCTCCCCTTGCCCCGCGCTCCGCCTATACCCCCTCTCCCCCCTCTCCCCTCCTTACTCAAATCGTAATCCGGATCCCCCTCACCCGGCTTCCTCCTCTCCACCTTCGGCCTCGGCTTTAAAAACTCCATGCGTACAAACATCTTATTCCTATCATCGACGCCCGGATTCCCGCTCGCGTCTGTCTTGAGCATGAATCCACGGCGGGAGAGAGCAGTGATGAAGGGAGTGTATATTGGGTCAATGGGACTGGTTGGTTGTTGCTCGGATTCTTCCTCACCGTCATTAAGGTCGTAATCATCGAAGTCACCTGAGATCGAAGGGGCGTCTTCGGATTTTTCAGATTTTTTGAGAACCCCGATTTTGCCTTTGTTCCCCATTTCCGCTGCGGAGGATACAGGTGGTGTCACGGAGATTTCGCTGCTTCTCCTGCCGCCACCCGTGGTAAATCTAGATTTAATTTCCGCAATCCATAGTTCTCCTCCAAATCTCAACACTCTAAATGCCTCCTCTATAAAATCGAGGTAATTCGTGCCCATCAACGCCAAGCAGAAAATAGAAATATCCACGCTCTCCTTTTCCAAAGGAAGATGCGCAATATCTGCTTCTGTGACTAATGGATTCCCATCGGACGTTAAATCAAAACTGTGGATTTTCAGATTTAAGTTCCTCTTTTCCGAGATGGGAATGAGCGTAGCTGCAAGCTTCGCATCACCACAACCTAGATCTGCAATAGTACAAGTATATGTTGGAGGTGGTCGTGGGAGTGGTTTAATTTGCTCTCTCTCTCTCCCACCCGCCTTTGGTAGGTTTTTCTTAGGGTCCTTAGGAGCTGCTTTTGCGCTTGCTCGGGTGAGAAGTTGTTTCATGAAGTTATCCACGGGATTCTCGGGCCAGGACTGGACCTGCTGCCGGAATCCTGCGTGGTAGTCGTGGAACATGGACGGTTGGGAGCGGAAGAGCTCGAAGGAGGTAGATGAGGGAGCAGTGTACAAGGCCTCGTTAAGATGGCGGAATCGGGCACCGGTGAGTTTGGCACGCATTTTTTGTTGGAGAGGGGTTAGGGCGGGAATGGATGCTAGGGGGGAGGTGGTTGAGGTGCGGATGGGGGCGGAGGAGATGATGGCGTCGAGGGATTGGCTTTTTTTGTTGTCCCTTTTTTGTTTCTTCCGAGAGGGCTCGGTGGTGGTTGGCTGGCCTTTCTGTTCCTGATCCTCTATCGAAAATGGCTTCTCGCCGTCAGAAGCAGCTTTTCCGCCTTTCTTCCCCCGCTTCCGCTTTTTCTTTCCGGAGCCCTCTCCTCCCTCTTTCCCTTCAATAACCTTCTCATACAGCTTCTGCAGATTCTCGTCCGTGACTTTCGGCCCCTTATCCACAGCTCCCACAATCACAATCTTCTCCTTCTTTTCCTCAGTTTTTTCTACTACTTCTTTCTTCTCCACCTTTTTCTCCACCTTCTTCTCCACCTTCTTCTCCACCTTCTCCACCTTCTTCTGCACCTTCTTCTCCTTCACATCCTTCTCCCCATCCTCCTCCCCACCCCCATCTGTACCAACTCCCCGGTGTTTCCCCAGCGGAATCTGGTTGCCCTCGCTAGCATTCCTCTTTCTTTTCGCTTTCTCCTTCTGGGCCTTCGTTTGCTCGGCCTTCTTTGCTTTCTTCGCTAGGGCGGCTTCGGAGAGGGTTTGCGTGGTGAGGGCGGACGTGGAGACATTCCAGCCTCGGACGGAAAACATCCTGGCGAGATATATGTGAATTGGATGGATCCGTAATGAGCAATTTCTTGCTGCAAATCTGCTGCTTGCAGCTTTTTTTCCCTCGCGAGATCAGTTCTTCGCAAGCTTAAGTAAGAGCCGCACCCGCAAATCTACGCTCTTCTGGGGCAGTTAAGCGAGTACCCCATATGCAATGCGCACGCTTTGATAGCTGTCTCTGACATTGCGATTCCCCACCACAACAGCTGCCCCGCGCATCATCCCCACTCCTTCCATACCCTTCCCGCATCTCTATCCAGCAGTAGATTAGTGAGGGCAGATCCATCTCAGCCATGGCCTCCTCTGCCGCCGGGCCCAGCTACACCCCCGTGCAAACCCACGACCAGTACATTGATCCCGATGTCGAACTCGACCCGGACGACCGTACCACCCCTTCTCCCCACCCCATTCTCCCCACCTTTACCCTACTAACCCCCAACCTAGTCTCCGTCGACGACCCCCTCGACGGCCCAACCCCCACGCACACCAGCGGCAATTCCTCCTCCACCTCCCGCCTGAACCCATCCAACCTCACCGCCCACATCCCCGGCGTCGACCGCACTGCTCCCCTCAACACCCTCGATGAATCCACCTGGACCACCCTCTCCCGCGACCTCCGCTCAATCTACCTGCACCTCCTCCATGTGCTCTACCCGCGGTTCCTCCTTACCAAGAAGTGGCCCGACGCAACCACCATGCTCGAGTCTGGGGGATTCAACTCCCTCAATCAGCCTGTCCGCGTACATAACCTCAACATCAACAACATCCCCATCCACGACTGGGATCTCTGGGGCCCCCTCTTATTCGCTCTAACCCTCTCTACTCTCCTCTCCATCGCTGCACCAGACGCCCAGTCAACCGACGTCTTTGCGGGGACTTTCTTACTAGTCTGGTTAGGGGAAGCGCTGGTAACTTTGCAGATTAAGTTGCTAGGAGGTCATATCTCGTTTTTCCAGAGCATCTCCGTCATTGGTTATACCCTGTTCCCGATGACAATAGCCGCGCTGCTGAGTGCACTGGGACTACCGGTCGTGGTGAGGTTGCCCGTGTATGCAGTGCTGTGGGTGTGGAGTTTAGCTGCGGGAGTAAGTATTCTTGGAGGGAGTGGGGTCGTGCAGAATAGGGTGGGGCTGGCGGTGTTTCCGTTGGGAGTGTTTTATACTTCGTTGGTGACGTTGTGTTTGTTTAGCTAGGTCAAGGGAGAAGGAGGGGAGGGGTAATAGGCAGTGGGAGGGCGGGGGGTGCGGCAGGCGGAAAATGAGAAAGAAGAAGACAAGAAGGTGGAGGGGGTTGACGCTGATCCACAAGTTGCAGTGCAGCCATCCGGTAGATGCCAGTACAGTATGGTACGGCATCAGCTCCAGTCAGGGGACGATATTATACATACATGCGCGATTACCTGCCGTGTATTACTTGCTATTATATTAACCATGCCCACGTCTATATAGAGCTTTGATTGCCCTATTTGCCATCTTGTACCAGTCTCGTGTATTACCTTTTCAGCCCCAAAGAATAAAAGAATTCAGCGCCTACTTTTCCTACATGTAATGGTCATGGATATTGGAGTTCTGAAGTTCTTGATTCATGATGCATGTGGACAACAGATCTAAGCAGTGCCTTGGCCAATTACCCTCAACTCTCCAAGTAGTTATGCACAACATTACACATTCAAGGTACCGCGAACCAGGCCCAGCCTCATGCATACAAGGACCTCAAACTCGACTGTGATCCTATTGCTGAGAAACAAGAAAAAGTGAGCTATATCAGCGAATATGCAGCTATTCAAGGTTGCTATAGGCATGAGGTATCCAAAGTAGACGATAGTAATAGAGCATTTCTTCTTGAAACCAAATTAACCTTTTCCAAAAGATCTTTTGAATTACCTATAGAACTCAGCTTTGTCTTGCTCTTGATACCATTGCCTTGATAATCTAAGACCCAGCAATATTGATATAATTCATAAGAACAAAGCAAATAAGTTCTAATAACACAGTAACCAGATAGAAAATATCACCAGGAACTCTCAAGGTACTTTTCATGAAAGAATAAAGCCAATATTGAAGAGATGTGATAAAAGTCTACTTTGAATGTTTTAGTGAAAAGATCTTATTGATAGATTATGGTCTTATTCAAGAGGACATAGACAGTTGCAAGAAATTGTGTTTTCCAAGGTGACTTACGGGTGGTTATGTTAGAGGAAGGCAGCCAGGCTAATGCAACACACCTGAGGTAGAAAAAATAAAAGACGGGGAGGGAAAAAAGAATTGCGACTTTTGTGGATTGAACACAAGACCTTCAGATTAAGTGACTGAGTTGAAACTTCAGTCTGACGCTCTCCCAACTGAGCTAAAGTCGCTTGTGAAGGCATGATTGATAAATCTTATTTGCAGGCCTAAGTCTTAGCATACGGTCGACAAAACACCTGACAGAATCCAATCTTAATGTACTTTAATTCACGAAATCTTATCACTTTATTAGGTACAAAAGAAACATACGACGGCAGCCATCATGAGCTATCAATGCTTGAAACACTATGTGGGGTTTTTGATATCCTTCACCTCCTTCAGTGATAAAGCCAAACGACTATCCATAGAAAGCCACATCACTACACCTTAAGGAAAAACCAGAATTTCTAATGAATTTGCTTTTGTTTGCCCTGCCATGCATGTTGAAGTTCCTCACAGAAAGTAAATGCTCTTTATAGCCGTTGGGTGATTTCTCGGTGGATGCTCCGGGAGCGAGGAGAAGGGGTTAGATATTGGGTAAAAGTAGTCTGGTTTGGTAAAAGACGCTCTAGAAAAGTCCCTCATAGGCATTGTTACACCTAGTGGGAACCCCAGCCACAGCCATGCCGAAGGTAGCATCTGCAGATTATTGGCACAGTGGATCATAATGTGCTAGTCTGATTGCATGATCCCCCGTATCCAAGTGAAGGATTATCCTTAGAGGGTTGACTAATGCTAACTGAAAATTACACACCAAGTACCCGTTGCTTGCTAGCTGACATATCGAGGGCAGCAGGTGCAGTAAGGTCTGGGCCGGCTGAACCTTTGGTTGATAGAAAACCTTAACAATATCCCACAACTTCGGCACGAAAAACCGACATTTGCACTCTGAGTCAGTGAGGTGTGTTCGAATTCGAAACTGCCACTGGGAGTGAAGGTTAAGTTGTGCAAGGCGTTTCTCAAATGCTTAAATTGAGGGGGGTCCTTGTAGCAACAACACCCTGTCGGGCTTGCCCTGAACTCCCCAGCCTGTTTTCCTTACCTGTGTGGCAAAATGTCTTCCGGATCTTGATGAAGCATGAGTATACACAACGAACTATTCTCGTGCCCAGACTCTTAGAGTTTCTGTAGGTTTTTGTAGGATTCCGTACCAAGTTGTAGGCTTGGCTTAGGCTGCGGGATCATGATATGAATAAGCTGTTAAGTATCTTCGGCAAGGAGCCCATTTGACTGTATTCCAGGGTAACGCCTAGCCGCAACCCGTGAAGTTTTCAAGTTACTTTTGTCATGAAACGGCCTTCTAAGTGTGCCCTGAAACAATATAGCTGACTTCCATTGGTACTAGCTCGTAGTTATTTCGCTCGCTAATTATAGCTCAGTGGAAATGTCTACAATTTTCCAGTCATAAGCTTGAGAGGAAGGTTCCAGTCCCATATAAGCAAGACTCTTTCAAGTGGTCTTGTTCTATTAGGCTTTGAGCTCGTGTGTATATCTATGACACCTTCACCTGCAACAAGGAAATGATGATATGGGTATCGTATTAGAAATATGTGCTTTTGCCGTCATAAACAAGAGTTAGCAATCTTTGAATTATGCAGAATTCAAAGACAAGACTAGAATTCAAGTGCCAACATACTTGAATATACTGAGGAATATATATATGTATGTACATGCTTGAGGGTCAGTTGCTGATAAGTACTGTGCGAGGGCACGAAGCACTCGTTAATGTTCATGATTTGGAGCTATCTCTGGAATTGGAACGTTCATAAGTTCAAAATAGACAGTATAGGGCTTTTAAGGCCCCTTGGCCATAAGCTTATTGGACCATGGTGTTACCTCGTGTATCTTTTTGATGTAGTAGGGGATATGGATAGTCTCGATCCAACCCTTTGGGGATTCTGATGAAGTGAGTTGTGGGTGAGAGTAGTCTGGTTGTGAGAACGAGTTGCCCATCAAGAGTAGACTAAGAGGGGATGTAGAATTGACCCGAATAGGGTCACTGAGGTTATCCTGAAGGCATCGGGGAGTATATAGCTAAAACTTCATGTACTTGGGGTGTTCATCGAAGTAGGTCTCGGATATCGATGTAAGCTGTGACGTTTACAGACTCACTCTCGATTGCAGATTGAAGCATTGGGAGTGTATGTTGAATAGGCACACGAGGCTTCGACCTCAAACTAGACTTAGCGATTACTCAAATGAGTTTACTAATATGTTGGACAGGAGCTCATATGTCACTCTCGATGCTATACTTAAGTACTTGTACTTATACACCAACCCCCAACTACATGCACACCATACAGTCCAAATGAATTCTTTTCAACCCGATGCTAGTCGTTACCTGTCTTAACCTAGCCAGCCCCACCACATACCAAAAATCAATCAAGAAAGAAAAGAGGATAAAAAAAAGGGACAAAAAATGAAAAACTACATCGTAAGTTACCAATAGAAGGGGATAGACGAACAATAACCCCCAGACTTAATAAAAGAAGCAAAAGCGGCACAGCGACCGAAGGAGGATACATAAGAATTGTCACGAAAAATTTAAAGTCGAGGAAGCGGAAGACATAAGAGAAGGGAAAAGAGAAAAGAGAAAATCTCACAAACAACTGAAGGGATCCTCAGAGGCAAGAAATTTATCGAATTGCTATCCTGGCAGCTACTTCCAATTGGACAGCCCCTGCCACGGGTCAGCTCCCTGCTGCTGAGAAGGGGGCTGATGCTGCTGTTGTGGGTAGTAGTGACCAGGCTGCCCCGGAGGTGGCGGTGGTGGGTAACCTTGTGGCGTGTAGGTCGGTCTCCCATTCAATTGTCCTTGCGGAGGGGGACCTGGCGGAGGAGGAGGGGGTACATACGCTCCTGGAACGTACTGTTGATGGGAACCGTAATTTGGCTGATACTGGCTAGGTGGGTAGTGACTAGGTTGGTACTGAATGTGTGATTGTGTGGGCGGTGGCGATGATGGCATTGTGGGCATTGTGGGCATTGTATGAGAGTGTGATTCTCGACGTGGAATGGATCCAGGAACTTGATATGTGGGGCGTGGTTGCATAGAATTTGTCATCTGGTTATAGGAATAGGAACCGCGCCTTACATCTTGTGGCATTCCATATTGACCATTTTGTTGTGGGGGTTGAGCATACTGAGTGTAACCCTGGAATACCGGATTTGGTTGTTGGGCTGGAGGAGGAGGAGGTGGTGGTGGTGGTGGTGGCGGTGGTGGTGTCTGTGGGGCAAAATATTGTCCACTAGCAAGGGGAGGATATCTCGGTGTCGGTGGAGGGCTTGTAGCTTGCACTTGAATGGGGGTTTGTGGTTGAGGTGTTGCCACATTCCCGGCACCAGTAGGCAATGTCTGCGGAGGCTTTTGCTGTACTTTCGCCGGCGGCTTCTGTGCCCCAGTAGGCGGATTGATAGTATACCTCTCCATCACTTCCTGAAGCTTTTTTTGCTCCCTATCAGCGTCCGCAGAGCCCTTGTCACTTTCAATCTGAGCAAGCAGAGATGCACCCTCTGTTCGTCGATTGGTAACGAATGTCTCGACGTTTTTCTCCAAGCTCTCTACAGTATCCTTCATCTCCCGGTAAAATTCTGTAGCCTTTCCAAGCCCTGCTGTAATGTCTAAGAATGCCTGATGAGTCTTCTTAAACTTCGTCAAAACGCTGTTCCTTTGCCTTGACAGCGATTCATACTTGTTCTGCTCCGCACGTATCCGCTTATCTTGTAAGAGGTCGCCATAGGCTAGAGTTAGCTCTTTCATCAATGCAGCTTGCTTATGCGCCATCTGCAGAAGCCGATTTTGATGGGGGCGAAATTTGTCCAACTCTTGCTGAAAGATCTGATTTTCCTGGCTTTGAATGGATTTCTTATTGAGAATGAGAACATTCGAAATATCATCTGCCATAACCTATGGTCATCGTTAAACGAATACGGTAATCCATCTAGATCTGAAATGCGTACCTTCTCTTTAAGATCTTTTAAGAGGGTTGTTCGCTCCCGTTTTATCATTCCAAGCTTTTTTAGCAGCTCTTCCACGACCTGAATTTGCTCTAGCACAGTATGATTTCCTTCTCCATCATCTACATCAAGCAGCGTCTCACTCCGTCCAGAATCAGGTCCCGAACTGCTCGCCCCACTGCTCACCCTCACTCGGTCGATGGCACTTCGGAACAGGTCTTCCTCATCGTCAGGCCCATTCAAACCGGCTAGTCTCATTGCCTCAATCTCATCCCTAACTCCTCTGTACTGGCTAAATAGTTGGTTATCACTACTGACAGCAGCATCAATGGCTTCCCGGTAGTTCCGAATATCATCGCGTAGAGTGATTGTTAGTCTTGCACTTGGCTGTTGGCTCCAGGACTCTTGATATTTGTATCGCATTTTCTCACACACATTTTCTTCGGTGTCCAAATTTCTATTGCTGATGTCTAGAATTTCGGCGATTCGTTTCTTTTGCTGCTTAAGCCCATCAAAAATCCTATCCAGACCCTCTGGACACTCCATAGCCATTTCCTCGCACCATTGCCGAAATTCCTCATCGAGTTCAAGCTCCTTATTTTCAAGACTCTGTTTCAGTAACTTGATTGCACCAGGAAGCTTCAGGTAGTCTAATGCAGCCACCATCTCAGCATTTGCCAGGTCAGCCTTTTCCGTTTCTGCCCGCACTAGCTTTGCTTTTTCTTCGTCATATAGCGAGGCAGATTCAGTGACAGACATCGGGACAATTTTTGAAAAGATATCAGGTCCAATTATCCTTTGCATATCCTGTCCAGCGTAGAGCTCCTGAACCGGAATGGCTTTCGCAGCAGCCATTTTCGGTATAACAGGAAGAGCGGCCTCGTTAGGTACGTTCTGATGGTAAATGAAATCATTCTCCTTAATGAATTCATTGAGCTTTTCCTGGACTAATGACAAGTGCCGCTTCACAATTTCTACTAGGACAGTACCAGTCTCCACAGATAAGTTTGAATTTGCTGGAGGATTGTGGGGAAAAGCGTTTGCTGCACGCAGAGCTTCTTTAGCTTCCCGCTCGGCAATGACGAGTCGCGTAATCGCTGAACCATGTGACCCGGTGCTCTTGTCGCCCTGGCCCTGGAGAAATTGTGATAAGGAGCTCATGTAGAATTGTTTG